TTATGTTCATAGGTGGTATGTAATTCAGCATCTTGCAATGAAGTTCCGCATTTTGTAAGGTAGTTCCATGTCTTGCAAGGCAGTTCCACATCGTGTAAGGTAGTTTTAACATGCTCTCCTCAGTTAGTCCTTTCTGCATTCCATGGTACATTCAGCATTCTTCCCCAGTACAGTTTAAATGCATTATTTCTTCTTGGTCTTCCTTCAATGTTCAACTTTCACATTTATATGAGGCAATTGAAAATTCCATGGCTTAGGTCAGGCACACCTTAGTCCTTGCTTTTTGAAAGTAACTTCCTTGCTTTTCAACCCTTTAAAGAGACCTTGTGCAGCAGATTTACACAATGCAACACATCTTTTGGCCCCTGGACTTCTGCTTCCATGAGCATTGATTATGGATCCAAGCAAGATGAAATCCTTAACATCAGTCTTTTCTCCATTTGGTCCAGTTGTGAAGATTTGGTCTACTTTATATTTAGTCTGAGTCCATACTGAAGACTTCAATCCTTGATCTTCATCCACAAGTGCAAGTCCTCCTGACTTTTATCAAGCAAGGTTGTGTCATCTGCCTAAAAAAAAATCATTGCATTTCCAAGATAAAGGACAACTCTTTTGGAAAGGTTGCTTTGAAAAAAATCAAGTCATTTATCAAAATGGAAAACAATTTAGCTGACTTCAGATTTCTCTATTATAACCTTGAATGCACTGGAACAATATTTGTAAGTTACTCCAGAAAAGAATGTATTATCAAATAATTTTCAGTCTTATGAAACTTAAGAGTATAAGACTTCAAACAAACAATTTTAAAAACGGAAAACTCCAGAAATGTTGTTCCCATGAGCCTTTCTTGAGAAAATCAATGGAAGGTAAACTTCAACAATAAAGAAACGACACAGGAAACTACCTCAAAGACTGGCAGTATGAATTAGCTAAATTTAAACTTAACCTCTAGTAGCCTGCTGTTGACTTGAAGCCTTATTGGTAACATAGTCAATTAATACACATTTTACTATATATATTAAATATATGTATGGTATATTGCACCCACATAAGAGCTGCACCTTAAATATATTTTGTAAAACATACAAGGCTTTTGTGTCTGCCGGCAAAGCTTCAGCAATGGCTTAACCAACTTCCATTGCTTTTTACAGTGGTCCTTGCACTGGATTCCCTTGTCTGGAAAGGGCACAATTACAGCTACAGGCCTCCATCTGTGAAAGAAATCAAGTATTTCAATTTTTTCATGTAATGTCATCCTTTTTTCCCTACTTCCCAAGAACACTTCAGTCATCACCAGTGACACTTCAACTGGGTCTCATTATATTATTTAAGCTTTACAATTGTACACCAAATATAATGAAAAAATGCATTAAAATCCTGAGAGATTACTTTTTACTGTTCACAAAGGAACATTAGCATCGTATAGTATATGAAAACTCCAATTTTCAGTGGATCTGTACGGTTCAAATCCATGCTGTGCAAACATCAAACATATATGAACAGCATATTGGGTTGATGCTGACTCACAACAATCCTACAGGACAGAGAGAACTGCCCATGTGGGTTTCCATGATTGCAAATCTTTATATCAGTAGAAAGCCTCATCTGTCTCCTGTGAGAAAATATATTCTCTATTACATACAATATAAATATATATTCTATGCATAATCTATAATCAATATTCATAAATGAAAAATCATAAGATGTAAAAGGCCAAACAAATACTTGTGGAGAGTTTCAAGACCTAAAAGTCCAAAGAGATACAGTAAGGGATAGTTTCTTTGTATCTATGTCTATGACAGTTAATTGTATGAATGTAAACAAAAATAATGGAGGATAAACAACAAAAACAATGAGATACAGCTAATTGAAATATATTCATTTCTGTACCCTTAAACATTGTTGAAAGTGCTTATGAGTTATTACTGAAAAGGGAATATTTGTTAGGAAATAGATATTTCTTAGGACAATAGAGTTTCAAGAACATAAAGAAGACACATTACACAGTATTCCTTGACCACAATACATTAAGCTATATTCTAATAATGGAATTGGAAAAGGGGGGAAAAAAACCAACAATGGAAAACTACACATTGTCATCCAGTAGCTTCTGACACAGTGGTTCCCAACCTTTGGGTCATGACCCCTTTGGGGGTTGAACATCCCTTTCACAGGGGTTGCCTGATGCATAACAGTATCAAAATGACAGTTATGAAGTAGCAACGAAAATAATTTTATGGTTGGGGGGTCATAACCACACGAGGAACTGTATTAAAGGGTCATGGCATGAGGAAGGTTGAGAATCACTGCTCTAGGATCTAATAGAATTGCCGCACAGGGTTTCCAAGGCTCTGCAATCTTTATGAAAACAGATTTCCACGTATTTCTCTGTGGACTGGCTGGTAACCTTAAGCTATTGACCTTTCTGTTCAAAGCTGAGTGCTTCACCAGTGTGACACGAGGGATTCTTGGGGAAAATGAAGCCCTTGTTCTTAAAAATTCACTCAATCAACTTGGGTCAAGGATAAAAGACAAATTAGGATTTCAGTGTTTGTAGAAAACAATAAGAATGACAATACCCTATAGCAGAATCTTTAGGATACAACTGAAGCACTACTCATAAAAATCAATAGTTTAAATGACTTCACTATAAATTAAGAAACAGAAAACAAAGAAACAAGTCATCTTAGGAAATAAGAAAAGTAAGAAATCAAAATAGGAAGATTTGATTTATAAAGATACAAACTGAAATTGATAAATAACACTGAAAACAAGCAAAAATGACTGAAAGTATGGGCAAATCTTTTTGCAATGATCAATAATGTTATTGACTAAAGAAATTAGAGGAAACTATTAAAAAATTTTAAATGAGGTAGAGAACTACAAATACTGGGAAAAAAAATTAAAAACGTACAAGAGAGGAACACTGGGTAACACTGTAGAAGGTCAAAAACAAACAGATCGAAAGCCAAGAACCAGACTCTGTCATTGAGTAGACCACGACTCGTATCAACAATCTGAATCAATTAATAACCAAAGGGAAAAGAAGTGGATTTACACAACTGAGCTTAATCGACCTTTTGAGTAAGATGATCTTCCAAAGTTAGTTAAGATGCTCTAAGCTATGCTGACCTGACAGCAACTAACAACAACAATAACAGAGTTCAGGAAAGGAAAGACAATAAAAGAAAACCACAGGTCAGTCAAAATTATATTGGTGTAATTATTCTATATAAATCATGCTTCACTAATCTGATAAATTATCCAAAGAGTAATACACAACCCTTGGGTAGGTTTCATTCAGTAACCAAATTGACTGAATAAATGCTCAAATATGTTTGATTTTTGAAAAACCAACAATTTGTCAGAAAACTCAAATAAAATTGTATTTAAGAAATATCAACATGGATATAAATGCAAAAATGGCGTAGGGGCCACATTCACCTCTTTGGGCTGCACAAAGTAGGAGAATCCAACTGCACACCACCCACGGCTGATCGCTTCAAGGCTGAGGTCAGACACGCTCCGCCCTCCATCGTTCCTTCCCCGGTTCTTCTATGACACTGCCTCTCTGCAGAGGTAGAGAATCCATTTCTCTGCTGAGTGTGATCATCCGTTGCAATGGTTACACAGAACTCCCACACAATACCCATGATTATGGGGACTCGTACCATAAGCCAGGATCAGAAAACCTTAAGGAATACAGCCTTGGGGCCACGGCAGTGGCACTGCTCAGCCAGCAGCCACCAGTCTCTCTGACCCTCAGCCTCATAGCCACAAAGTCCTTTGACCTCTACCATGTTCCCTGCTCTGCCTCACAGCCTCATGGTATCTGTTCTCAGTGCTGTTGCTTCAGGTGCCTCTGGCACTTTCAGACAGGAATCATTCACGCTCCACTGGTGGCTGTTCTTTCCTGATCATCCCAGATGATCTCTCCAACTTCTGAGCTTGCTCTCTTAGACACAGAGGAATGGCAAAGCTGACCAATTCCCCCATTAGTGTTTCAAACACCTTATTTGACAGGTTCTACTCAATCATGTGATGGGGGTTACAGAGATATGTTTAACTCGTACTGAACTCACTGGTGAACTTGAACTGCTAACTCAAAACCCACTCAGCCACCAGGGCTCCTATAATCAAGCACAAATGCTAAAGAAATAGTACATTACAAGCCCTCAACCCTTGAGGGCTTACTCTGACCACTTAATCATCAGAATCTTGTGGGGGAAATTCCTTCATTCAGAAATTATAGAATTATTTGCAAGCAGATGTTTTAGAAAACCACTAATGAACCAAATGTGAAACTTCTCCATAAGGAGCCTATATTTGGGAAAGCACCATTATGATACACATTGAATCAGAAAATTCTCTGTTATATAACAAATGTTTAAAACACAGTCTGCAGATTGTTTGGATACATTTGCTATGGTAGAGTGAGAAAAAAAAATTCAAGTGAGGGAAACTTGGAAGGGAGAGGAGAAAGTATGACGATCGTCACCAGAAGACAATATGTTCTTTTGCGCCAGCTCCATCAGAAAGGATGCTGGTGAACTGAGTAGTGTAGTGTATGTTTCAGGGGTTAGGAATCAGGAGAATTTCTTCAGGAGATGTAAACTCCTGGGAGGATGGAAGTGAAAACCGCCTAAGAAAGTAGTTTAAGGAATTATGTGATTTCAGTCAATAAAACGTTTACAAATTACACATTTCATTTTTTAAACATATTTTGTACACATAAGAGCTAAATGAAGTCATTAATTAAATTTGGGTTTACAGATACTGGTGTGCACATACTTGTCTTATGCAATTATTGGATATAATGTCTTGCCTTTCCCCTTCCTATCTTTAGTTCCCTGTGGATTAGTTATTAATAGAGCATGTATATTTTAGGAATAACTGTTGATATCAGCAAGAAAGATTTTCTTATACTCAAACATATATGTGAATACATGAATGCGTAAGAGTAAGATCCTTTCTCTCTTTCTCTCTTTTTAACTTTCCAGGCATAGATATTCTTCGTCAACTAGGCCTGGGAGGCAAAGATGTAAGACACTCATCACCGGGGACTGCTGTACCACCATCATCTACAGCACTACCTCAGGGGATTCGTTTTACAGAATCAGGTGTCATTTTAACCAACGACACATATGTGGAGTCACCTCTCCTGAACATTTTTCCTGTCAACTTAGTACAGCCATTTACAATATTAATTGGGTTACAGTCACATAGAGTAAACAATGCATTTCTCTTCAGCATTAGAAATAAAAACAGACTTCAATTAGGAGTTCAATTGCTACCTAAAAAAATAGTGGTGTACATTGGAGGAAAGCAGTCTGTGTTTTTCAACTACAGTGTTCATGATGAACTGTGGCACTCCTTTGCCATTGATATTAGCAATAAAGTTGTCTCCATGTTTGTTGAGTGTGGAAAGAAATACTTTAGCCGAGAGACTTTTTCAGAAGCTCAGACCTTTGATTCTAACAGTGTGTTTACCTTAGGAAGCATGAATAATAATTCTGTCCATTTTGAAGGAAGAGTATGTCAGTTGGATATTATTCCTTCTGCAGAAGCATCTTCAAATTATTGCACATATATGAAACAGCAATGTCGCCAAACAGACACATACCGGCCTGAGATAAGCCTTCCACAAACAACAATTAAACCATCAAAAATATTGGAAAACTCTGCCTTGCTCAAACAATTTGGCGAACCAGCACTGTTGGAGCACTCATTGACTGATGACAAAAGTCCACCACATGGCATTAATAACAGGTCTGCAGAGGTGCATAAACAACAAGAACCCCAGGAACCAGGACCTCAGCTCCTATCTCTTCTTTGGGGGAACACATCTCTTGTGGGTCGCATGAGCCATGGAGTTCTGGCCGAAAAAACGGTCTCTGAGAAACATGCTCAGGCCAATGTAAGCCTCTCTGTGACCCATCAACACCTCCGTGAGGCACGAATGAATACCGACGAGCAATTTAGCTCCTCAAATGTGACCAGCGTCACACGTGACAACAGAGAAACTGGGCTCTCACCATTTAAGACGATGGCATCTATTCTCCCTCAGATAGAAAGCGACACAATTAATCATCACAAGAAGGCTCTGACAGCAAATCAGCACACTAATGAGCTCATGGAACTGCAACATACTTTAAACACAACTTTATATAGAGTGACCAATGAACTTTCTGCGGATAACCACCTTGATCTAAGGAAGGAAGGTGAATTTGATCTTGATGGCACTTATACCATTGAAAATAGCTATGAAACTGAGCTTTATGATTATTACTATTATGAAGATCTTAATACAATGCTCGAAATGGAGAATCTAATAGGTCCTAAAGGGGATACTGGACCACCCGTAAGTTATTTTTAAAATTTTAAATATGTCTTAATATATTAATTTACCATACGTTTCACAGAATTCTCTGGCCTGAAGGATACAGAAAAGGCTAGTTCTGTCACAAAAATGTATCCGGCTACCTTGAATCCATTTATGGTGATTACAATACATCCAGAATACAATGCTAGCTCAACTGTTAGGCTTTTTTCTTTAATTGGCAGGATAAAAGGTTAATTAATTCTGGCAAAGTAAATAATATGTTTGAATTCTTTTGTTGAAATGAGTGCTGAGTTTCTATATCAGTATTTTTAAACAAGCATAAGCTTAGTAAATAGTCATATTAAGAGAAGGATATTTTCTAGGGATAAAAATAGTACCAAATGAATTAAAATGAAGTGTAAAATTCACTCAGAATATTTTGTAGTAAATCATTGATTGGGAAGAACAAACCTTGTCATATTTTAATTTTCACAAAAGGCAACATATCCCATTATGTTTTTAATGATAAGGCAATTTACATTTATGAGTTAATACAAGCACTATCTAGTTAAACAAACAAACAAACCAGTTGTCCTATCAGTTAATTCAATGGAAACAGCCAAGCTATATATTTAATATGTGAGATAGCAGACTGAAATTTTCACCTCAGAATTTCTTTTGAGTAGGTTCAATTACAAATATACATTTAAAAACTTAAAATATTTAAAACCATGACATGCTTTGGATTTCTATCGATATATCTTCAATAATTAGCATATATGTGTCCAGAATTTTTTTCTCTCGTAATTAACAATTAAAATATAGATTTATTATTTATTTATTTATATGATAAAAAAATTTGAGTCTTTAGTTGCAAAAAATCACAGTGGGAGAAATTATGCCATTTGCTTAGCTTTGTGTTTCTTGTTTTTAGCAGAAGTGATTTCACAGGGATTGAGCAACTCTTAAGAACCCTGGTGGCACAGTGGTTAAGTCCTCTGCTGCTATCCAAAAGTCATGACATTGAACCCAGCAATCGCTCTGTGGAAGATAGAGCAGTATACTCCCCTAAAGTTACAGTCTGGGATTCTGCACCAACCTATAAGTTACTATGAATTGGAATCTACTCTACAGCGAAGGAATTTTTTTTCAGGGGTGGGGAGGATGCACTCTTATTAGAGTAAATGGTTGGAAGATTTTTAAAAAAGAAAAAGAGAAATGGAAATGTTTTCAGCTATGACAATTAGTTGTCAGCATATTAATAATAACATTGAGTCATTGAGCATTATGGGAACCATCCCCCCACCCCCCAAGAAAGTCATTGTGATGAGAGTTAATCTCCTCTGTAAATAAAAACATAATCATCTCAAGTGAAGAATTTATGTTGTATATTCCCTCAAGTCAGTTCTGATAGATTTCGTTCTTTGGGCACTCATTGCTGCTTTCAATATTCGTTACGAACTCCATAATCGAAATGCATCAATTCTTCTGCAGTCTTCCTTATCTGTTGCCCAGTTTTTACATGCACATGAGGCAATTCAAAATAACATGGTTTGGGCCGGTCATATTGTAGTCCTCAAAGTGATATTTGCTTTTTAATAGAGAGATCTTGTGCGGCAGATTTCCCCAATGCAATACATTGATTTCTTGACTGCGACTTGGGTATTATGATCCTTATTTTTCAAAAGAAATTGAAACCCAGAGATTACTCACACCTACATGGCTAGTACAGGATAGAGTCAGAAGGTAAATCTAGGTTTTCACCATGTTGGACTGAGCCATTGCCATGAAGGTGAGTCCTACTACCGGAGACCTTCTAAGACAGAGTAGAATCACCTTTTGGGGTTTCAGAGCAGGAAGCCGCTCTGAAATGTGGTAATGCTGGATAATGCAGGGAACTAAACACCCAAGATAAATAGATCACATCTTAATTTTCCAATGAATAGTGTTTCATTTTATATAGTTCTCAATGAGGACATTTTGAAGGTTTTTAGGAAAGGATGCACCGTTGGGTAATCTCAAGGTTGTGGTTCAAACCCATCAGCTGCTCTGTAGTACAACGTTGAAACTATCTGCTCCCATAGAAATTTATGACCTTGAAAACCTTATATAAGATAATCATGGCTCAGAATGGACTCAATGGCAGTGGATTTGGGGGTTTGGGAAACAAAGGAATAATGATAAAGTCTCATAAAAGTGCCCCAAAAGGACAGGAAGTGCCTATCGCCATTTTTGTGTTATATGACATTATCTGGATTGACAACAATGAACATGCAAAAGAAAGGTAGGACATAAGAGCTATTTTGAAGGAAGCATTAGCAGAATTAGGAAATTAATTGGTCTAGGGACAAAGCAAAGGAACCCTGATGGCTTAGTGGTAACAATAAATATTGGGCTGCTAACCACAAGGTCTGCAGTTTGAAAACACCAGCAGTTCGTTCTGAGGGAGACACTTACAGTTTCAGAACCCCCCAGCAGCAGTTAGACTGGCCCGTAGGCTCGCTGTGAACCACCATCGATGCCACAACCCTGAGGTTGCTCTGTTTCTTTTCTTCTCTTTTTCCTGAGGGACAACGCAGGATGAAAGTGAATCAAAGATGACATTCAAGTTTTAAACCTGTGGCATTGAATGAATGGTGACATCATTAATAAAATTAGTAATTAAGAGAGCAAGTCACTTTTAGGAAAGGAAAATAAGAAGCTAAAACATTTAAACAACTGTTGGCAATTCAATAGTCAAAGAAAACTCAAAGAAGCTAAAGTGAAGAAGAGCAATCAAGGCAAATGACATAGATTTTAAAGTCTTATTAATGTTTTAGTTGCAGCTATAAAAATGGATATCACGAATTATTCATACTTTTTTCTCTAATCTGATGCAATATTCTTCATAGAGTACAGATTCTCAGATCATGTATTGTTGTTGTTTAGTGTTATTGAATCGGTTCCAATTCGTAATTGTCTTAGGCACAACAGAATGAAGCACTGACAGGTCCTGCTCTATTCTCACAATTGTTCCTATGCTTGGGTCCATTGCTGCAACCATGGTGTCAATCCATCCATATTAGTCTGGGTAGACTAGAGAAACAAATCCACAGATGCATTCATATGTGTATACGAGAGAATTTTATATAATGGGTAATTATAGATTAAGAAAGCATACCAACCCAGTCCAGTCCAAGCCCATAAGTCTGATATTGGCCCATATGTCCAATACCAATCTATAAAGTCCTCTTCAGACTCACGAAACACATGCAATGATGCCAAATGCAGGATGATCACAGGCCAATGGGTAGAAAATTTTTGGATCCAGTAGCATTGTAAGCATCTCAGCGCTGGCAGGGTTCTCTACGTGGCTTCTCTGGCTTCAAAGGTCTGGTTACATCAAGGTAGGTCCATGTGGTTTCTCCAGTTCAGGGCACTAGAGTAGTTCCATGTGTCTTGTAAGCTGCAATGTCTCCCAGGGAGTCAGCAGAGAAAGAGAGTCTGTCCCGCCTCCAATGAGGAACAACAACAGAAAAACAAGGTTTACCCAGAATCCCCAGGGGAAAGCTATGCCCACAGAGGCCTCATTGACTGTGACCCAATTGACCGACTACACTCCACCCCTTCACTCTTAATCCTCTCAAGTCCCAAATTGACACCAGATTATGTAACTACCACAATCCCCTTGTGGGCCTTCCTCTTTTTTGCTGCCCTTCCACTATACCAAACATGATGTCCTCCAGGAATCCGTATCTCCTGACAATCTGTCCAAATTCTGTGAGCGACGTCTTGCTATCCTTGCCACTAAGGAACACTCTGGCTGTACTTCTTCCAAGATAGATCAATTTGCCCTTTTAGCAGTCCATGGTCCTTTCGGTATTCTTCTCCAGCCCCACAACTCAAATGCATCGATTCTTCTTAGGTCTTCTTTATTCCATGTCCAACTTTCACATGCATATGAAGCAATCGAACATACTATGAATTGGGTCAGGTGTACCTTATTCCTTAATATAACACCTTTGATTTTCAACAATTTAAAAAGGTCTTGTGCAGCAAATTTACCTAATGCAATTCACCTTTTGATCTTTTGACTGCTGCATTCATGAGCACTGATTGTGGATCCAAGTAGGACAAAATCCTTGACAACTTCAACCTTTTCTCTGTTTATCATGGTTACCTATTATTGGTCCTCTGGTGAGGACTTTGGTCATATTTATATTAAGTTATAGTGCATACTGAAGATTGCAATCCTCGATCTTCATCAGGAAGGGCTTCAAGTCTTCTTCACTTTTAGCAAGCATGGCTGTGTCATCTGGGTATCTCAGGTTGTTAATAAGCCTTCTTCCAATCCTGATGCCATATTCTTCCTCAGATAATCCAGTTTATCTGATGATTTACTCAGCACACAGTTGCATAAGTATGGTGAGAGGATACGTCCCTGTCACACACCTTTCTTGATTTTGAACCGTGGAGTATTCCTTTATTCTGTTGGCACAACTGCCTTTTGATTCATGTGCTGTCTGCAGGAGGAGAATCAAGTGTTCTAGAATTCTCTTTTTCTCTCAAGGTTATCCATAGCTTGTTTTATATTACACACAGTTGAATGCCATTTCATAGTCAATAATTTACAAATAAACATCTTTCTCATAGTGTCTGCTTTTTCAGCCAAAATCCATTTGACATCAGTAATTATATTCCTCGTCCCATGTCCTCTTCTGGATACAGCTGAACCTCGGGCAGCTGTACTGCTGCAACTATTGTTGGATTATCTTCGCCCACATTTTTCTTGCATGTGGTATCAGTGATATTCTTCTACAGTTTCAGCATTCTCTCAGCTCACCTTTCTTTGGAATGGATACACATGTGGATCTCATCCAGTTAGTTGGCCAAGTAACTGTCTTCCAAATTGCCTAGCAAAGACCCGTAAGTGCTTCCAGTGTTTCATCAGCTTGCTGAAACATCTCCATTGGTATTCCATCAATTTCTGGAGATTTTTTGTTGTTGTTTGTTTTGGCTAATGCTTTTAGAGCAGCTTTAACTAATTCCTTCAGCACCAT